TGTGTTTACGAGAATACTTGCCGAGACAGTTATTTTGAGATAATTTTTTGTGTGTGTGTTCATTCAGATGCAAGGATATGCGAAAGAGGAATCAATTCTGTGTATGTGCATTGTCTGAAACGCAGCTCTCTGTGCGCGCTTTGAATGAGTGCGCGCGAATGGTTTAAAACACTTGAATGTTTAAATCGGCAAGACTTAGAAACACGTGCAAACGATCAACTATGATCCGTTTTACCCCTACATTATTTTATTTTATTTTATTTTATTTATTATTTTGCTGCGGTTTGCTGGTTGTAGGGTATTGGGCACATATGGTTTTTTATTTTATTTTATTTTATTCATTTATGTATTTATTTTTTATTTTATTATTTATGATTTTAGGGTCTTGGGCACATTTTTTATGTAATTTTATTTTATTTTAGTATTTTGCTGTGGTTTGCTAGTTTTACAGTCTTGGGCACATATGGTGTTTTATTTTATTATTTTATTTATTTATTATTATTATTATTATTTATTTATTTATTTTTTTACTGTGGTTTGCTGGTTTTAGGGCCTTGGGCACAGTTGTTTTTTGTTTTGTTTTAATTGCCATGAGCACTTAATTATTTTATTTTATTTTATTTTATTTATTATTTTGCTGCGGTTTGCTGGTTGTAGGGTATTGGGCACATATGGTTTTTTATTTTATTTTATTTTATTCATTTATGTATTTATTTTTTATTTTATTATTTATGATTTTAGGGTCTTGGGCACATTTTTTATGTAATTTTATTTTATTTTAGTATTTTGCTGTGGTTTGCTAGTTTTACAGTCTTGGGCACATATGGTGTTTTATTTTATTATTTTATTTATTTATTATTATTATTATTATTTATTTATTTATTTTTTTACTGTGGTTTGCTGGTTTTAGGGCCTTGGGCACAGTTGTTTTTTGTTTTGTTTTAATTTATTTAATTTTAATTAATTAATTAATTTATTTTTGTGGTTTGCTGGTTTTGGGCACATAATGTTATTTTATTATTTTATTTATTATTATTATTTTATTTTATTTATTTATTTTTGCTGTGGTTTGCTGGTTTTAGGGCCTTAGGCACAGTTGTTTTATTTTATTTTATTTTTTATTTATTTAAATTTTTTTTCTTATTGTGACGAGGTCAGTTTTTATTTTATTTTTTATTTTTTTTATTGTGACGAGGTCACTGTTTATTTTATTTATTTATTTATTTATTGTGACGAGTTCAGTGTCAGAGACTGCTGTTCCCTGATTAGCTTTATTTTGCATCGTGTGCTTTTCTCATTCCAGCTGTTGTCTCCGATATAACAGATTTCTTTTTACTCTGGTAAACCGTATTTTCCTGTGGATTGTACATCCTCTGGCTAAATTGGATGAGCGTGAGATTGCGGCATGGCTCTGATTTATTCATGAGAACTAAGCTAACACGTCGGGTGTCAAAGAAAACAATCAAAAAGCGAAGATTGGACAGCGGCTCAGCTATTGATAGCTGGGGTCTGTTGAGAGACGCGCGCCGCAGCTTTGGATATTAATCTGAGCCACCGCTGAGACTCATTTCACTCAGAAAATGCAGCTGCGTTTAAACGCGTGCCGCTAACAAACACAAGGTTTCGCGGCAAGGAAATCAATTCATTTTGCATGGCGAGTGGTTAATAATGATTGACGGCGACTGACAGACGAAGCGTGTTTGAGCGCGCGACTGCATTATTCATGAAGGGAAACGCGTTTATCTGCGGGTGTTTGCAAATCACAGAATCACAGACTGAGCAGAGCATTGTGGGTAATTCCTCCAGACAATCACTGTAGAAAGAGACACACATACAGGAAATGATTCCGGTTTGACACAGGAAGTGACAGTCGCGGATCAGACTCGGACGGTCAGACTGGTTTTGCTGTCAGCTCTCACTTGCAGGAAAAATGAGCTCATGACATGTTTTTGTAGCCTCTCTGGCTGCCTTTGTAGGCATCATTTTAAGGGCTCATGATGAGGCTGATCCACATTATGTATCTGTAGAAATTCCCACAATGCACTGCAGTGAGAAATAAAATCATCCAGGATGGTCCTCAGAGTAAAAAATAATGTTGATAAATATATGTGTAATTCATTCAATACTGAAAAGAATAATTAAAATAGTTTTATTTCTAATTAAATTAAACTATTTATTATTAAATTATTTAGTAATTAAATAAAACATATATATTTGAAAAACTATTATATTGTTATTATTATTATTATTAAGAAATTGTTATATTTGATTTGAAAAAAAAAATAAAACAATATATTATTAAATAATTTAATAATGAAATAATAAATAATAAAAATATAAATATATTTAAAACATTAGTATTATTATTATTATTATTTAATCAAAATTAACTGTTTTATTTAATTTGTAATAAATAAAAAAACTATTTATTAAATAAGTTTATCATGATTTATTAGTTTAATGAATTAGTTTAATCATGAAAAATAATAAACAATATATTTTAAAGCATTATTATTATTATTATTTCATGATAATAATAATACATTTTATTTAATTTGAAATAAATAAAACAATTTATTATTAATTAATAATAATAATTTATTATTATTAGGATCAGGAAAGGTCCGCTATATGTCGGCGCGCTGCCCACAAAGCTATTGATGCCGACGAAGTAGATATAATTTATTTAAAAACTCCTTTTTCCCTTTTTTTGAACCATCACCATTTGCAACGATCACTAAAGTCATTTCCCACTCCTATATTTACTGTAAATATTCATCCATGACATTGAATGTTTTGGCACTGTTTATGTTCCATAATCAAACATTTTAGCTGAGGAGGTTTCTGAAATTTGGTTGATTTGCCTCATTTGTAATTGAAATCTAATTAAAAATGCTATTACTTGTGTGCTTTTGAGGCAGGTTCTGTTCAGAGTCAGTGTCTCACGCCCCTCTTTCTCTCTCTCTCTCTCTCTCTCTCTCTCTCTCTCTCTGTGCAGCACACAGATCTGTGTCAGTACATGGACAAACATCCCGGCGGCCTCCATCCAGACAACATCAGGGTGAGTGAGACATATGATGAAACGCCTCTCATTCAGCCTAAACCTGCTCATGCACAGTATTGAATCTTTCAGGTCTTAATGTTTTACCCTATTTCAGATTTTCTCTGCTCTAAAAGTCATCGTTGGCTTGATCAGCTCGTTTTAGTGCCCAGAATACACCACTAGGGCTGGGTTTTGACACAAATTTCACGATTCGATTGTCATTCACAAGCTTGTGATTCGATATCGATTATTTTGGATATATATCAGGTACAGTACTTGCCAAATTTTCTTAAGGAAAAAAAATCTCTCAACTAATGCTGTAAAATATACATGAGAGTCAGTTGGTGCTACATTAGCCTACTATAATATTGAAGGTTAAAATTGACTGATTTGTAAAAATTACACTTAATGAAGTTTTTAAAATAATAAAATTACAATTACATAATATTTCTAGTTCAAATTTTTTTATATATATATATATAAACATAATGGTGGCTGTCATAAAAACTTGATGGATTTATTCAAACATAAAAAGAACAGTAAAATTTATAATGAATATGTTATATGATGCATATATTTAGCAAAATGCCCCTCTCTACAGTTTATTTATCTAGCCGACTAATGAGTTTATAATCACCGAATATGTTTTTCTGAGGTAAATGTGACGTTACGTGACATTTTTTACAAGCCGTTATATTGGCGTCTTTGTGCGGCTGAAACGCTCTGATTGAGCGTTGAATATTGCAATACAATGGACAGAATTTGAAATCTGAGACTTTGTTTCATATTAAAAGTACCAAAGCACAATGATTATTGCAATGTATTGGATGGAAAGTGCCCTTCAGTGTTCCGTCCATTAACTGAAAACAGGCTAGACTAATCGAATCTTGGGATTTAAGAATCGATATCGTTCCGTAAAAATGAGAATCGATTAAAATTGAGATATCGATATTTTTTACCCAGCCCTATACACTACTGTGTGGATCAGGCTAGTTTAGAGTTGTGCTTCTGACACAAAGGTTTGACAGAAGTTTTCAGTGTGTTTTATGAGTATTTCTCCTCTTTCTTGGTTAAAGATCTTCCAGACCACTTTAATTTAGTTCAGTGACCCATTTTCTCCTCCGTCTCCTGCTCTTTCTCTGTCAGAACCGAGCGTGTGGAGCGTGAAATAAATTCATTTAGGCTTGGTGTTTATAATAAATACTAATATAATTTATGTTTGTTTTATACTTATATTTTTCATTCCTGTTCTGTACTGAATGCCGTTATATTTAAAGGATTTGTTGTGTATATGGGGAGCTAAAATACATCGTTATAGTGTTTAATAAAGTTTTTTTTTTTTACCTGTATTTACATTATTTCTGAATTTAATAGTAAAACATGACTTAGGCTATACATTGAAGAAAATCTTTTCTTATTCAACAATATATTTTTTTACCTGGTGCGACTGATTTTCTGGAAAACGTCATTTATAGTCATTTGTTCCTCTGAAAAGTTTTTGATATTTTTCTTAAATCATAATAATTTAGTAATTTGGTGATGCTGGTGGTGCTGATTATAGTTATTATATATAAATTAAATAAAACAATTTATTGTTTTGTTTTATTATTATATACATAATAAATATGATATAAATAATAAATAGACAAAAACTATTAAAAACTATGATTATTATTATTATTTAATAAATTTAATTGTTTGATTTCATAAGAAATAAATTACATAAACAATGTATTATTAAATAAATTATTTATTAATTAAATAATAAAAATAATATATATTTTTTTAAATCTGTTTTCTTTTTTTTATTTTGAGTGATTTTACGTTTATGAAAAATGTTGCATTGACAACATAAGCTGAAATAATTAGAATATATATATTTTTTACTTCAGTTAATGTTTATTTCAAGTAATATTTTTATTTTTTTGTTTCAGTTTTAGTTATCTATAATAACCTTGGAGCAGAAATTGCTTTTACATTCATGCATAGTTTACATTTCTTATTTTGCAAATGCTTTTATCCAAAGCTAAATTTGGAAATCAGTTTGTGCATTCCCTGGGAATCGAACCCATGATCTTATCGTTGCAAGCGCCATGGTCTACTGTTTGATGCTTCATGTCAGTACTGTTAGTAAACTAGTTAAGCTGGAGGAATGACTGGTTTTAAATGGTTAAAATGCTCCTTGAAATCAATTCAAAAGTCAATGTCTTTGTAGAAAGTTGCAGTGAAAGAGTGAGACGTGATGGAGCGAATGAGGCCAGCGAGCAGAAGTTGCTTATGTAATTCATCAGCTGTTTTGTCACTGTGGATTTACATTAATAAAGTATTTACCCCGTACGCTCCCTCACTGAGATTCAATCCGATGGAGAATTCATGATAAATCACAAGCTGACAGAAGAGAATGAGAGCGGCTCACCTGAAACAGGAACAGTATCGAGAAAATCATGACAGGCTGCACTTTACACGGGTTTCACAGACTTTAAAGAACATTTCTGACCAGGATTCCTCTGTAGATTCAGGTTTCTGAGGACAGTGAGCTTCAGAGAATCGTTTTATGGTCATTATAATGTCTTATTTCTCATGCATGTAGACCAGGCAAGCATGATCTTTACTTGGATAACTTGGTTTAGATTAGCTCACATTGATACTTGTATCATTTTTGGCGAAAAGTTCACCCAAAAAGTTACAAAAGTAGCATTTTTGAGCAGGCATTGTATCTGTGTTGATTGAGATTGGACTGAAATTGTTCAACTATTGATGTGCAATAAACATAAAACAATAAACCCATCAGATGAATCTACACTACAAAAAATGACTTAAATGAAAATTATAATAAAAATGGATAAATACAACAATTATTATATAATTTTGTATGTATTTTGTATATGCATTGTATATGTATAATTATTATTATATACACATATGTATTTTATATTGCTTTTTGTTTTATATTTTCTGCTTAGATGCTAACGGCATTTTATTCTGCACAATGACAATGAAGTTAAATCTAATCTAATCTAGAATATATTAAAATCCTTGAAAACAATACTTAAGAAGCAACACTGCGTGAGATATTAACACTTGTTTTCATATTTTGTATCTTGAATATATGTGTAGTTTGTCTTGCTGCACTGGCAGATCGTGTATTTTTAGCTCGCAGTAAGACAACATACACACATAATTATAACAGTCTATGAAAAACAAGTCTTAGTATCTAATGCAGCGTTGCTTCACAAGTTAATTTATCTTGTTTTGAGGATTTTTTGATTGTTTTAACCTCACAAACTAAAAAATATGAATATGATTTTGCAGTGTAGTGGCAGGATGAGCATCTTTAGTGTATTAAGCTCATTTGCAGTTGAGCAGTGTTTAATGCATCTTCTGTTCAGTTGTGTTGTTCTTCATCTGTCTGTTTTTAACACAAGAGCTCGTCCTTAGTGTCTTAATGATGTCTGGAGTGCTCGTCTTTAAAAGACAGACTCGCCGCCTCCTCAAGCATCAACTCGTCAGATCCAGAATGGACGCTAAGTGGAGATTAGCTCCCGCAGTCACGAACAAACGCGCCACACAATGGCTGGAGTTTTAATTCCGCCCATTAGCTGGAGTTGATTATTTCGCTCAGATCTGCTCTAATAAAAGCCACTAGACCCTCGGCCGCAGGTTGGATGGGATTAGCATGTGAAAGGCAGCGCTCAGGGCGCTAGCTGCTAATGTAATTACTGGTCAAGCAGCAGAGAGACGGGCCGCGGGCGGCAGACCTCCTGCGCATATGCTGCTCTCGCTCCAGAAATAACACGAGATCTTCACAGTCCTCGTTACGCTGAGGTTGTACTGTCGATTCGCTCGATGTGTTAGGCTGCTTTAATGAGAATGCTTAAGTGAATTAACTGATAATGACAGCCGGACGCAACTCAGGAGACGAGCTAGCTTTACTACAGCGTCTGCTGCAATCTGACTATCTATCGATCGTTCTGTCTATCTCTCTAATGTTCATTCTGTCTATCATTCTACCATTCGTTTTGTCTATCGATCGTTCTGTCTATCTCTCTAATGTTCATTCTGTCTATCATTCTACCATTCGTTTTGTCTATCGATCGTTCTGTCTATCTCTCTAATGTTCATTCTGTCTATCATTCTACCATTCGTTTTGTCTCTCGATCGTTCTGTCTATCTCTGTAATATTCATTCTGTCTATCATTCTACCATTCGTTTTGTCTATCGATCGTTCTGTCTATCTCTCTAATGTTCATTCTGTCTATCATTCTACCATTCGTTTTGTCTATCGATCGTTCTGTCTATCTCTCTAATGTTCATTCTGTCTATCATTCTACCATTCGTTTTGTCTATCGATCGTTCTGTCTATCTCTCTAATGTTCATTCTGTCTATCATTCTACCATTCGTTTTGTCTATCGATCGTTCTGTCTATCTCTCTAATGTTCATTCTGTCTATCATTCTACCATTCGTTTTGTCTATCGATCGTTCTGTCTATCTCTCTAATGTTCATTCTGTCTATCATTCTACCATTCGTTTTGTCTATCGATCGTTCTGTCTATCTCTCTAATGTTCATTCTGTCTATCATTCTACCATTCGTTTTGTCTATCGATCGTTCTGTCTATCTCTCTAATGTTCATTCTGTCTATCATTCTACCATTCGTTTTGTCTATCGATCGTTCTGTCTATCTCTCTAATGTTCATTCTGTCTATCATTCTACCATTCGTTTTGTCTATCGATCGTTCTGTCTATCTCTCTAATGTTCATTCTGTCTATCATTCTACCATTCGTTTTGTCTATCGATCGTTCTGTCTATCTCTCTAATGTTCATTCTGTCTATCATTCTACCATTCGTTTTGTCTATCGATCGTTCTGTCTATCTCTCTAATGTTCATTCTGTCTATCATTAAGAGCTGATTGAAATTATGCAAATATATAAATTACAGCTTATTCCCATCTAGAAAACACACTCAGGTGTTGAGGTTCTTTCAATCACATGACCATACAGTATACAGTAAAAGAG